TCTATCTATCTATCTATCTATCTATCTATCTATCTATCTATCTATCTGTGTGTAAATACAACACAAGAGACAGTGATCACAACCATGGAATTTATTGCATTCAAAGAAAAATTCAAAGACTACAGTTTATTCATAGGCTATGGTCATGTCTGGAAGGCACACAAAATGTGATGATTAGCAAACAAGTGCATAAGTGAGTGTGTTTGTTTGAGCTCTTTAAATGTGTGCATTCTGATAACGCGCGTGTGTCTTCAGAAAAAGCTTTTTTAACAAAAGGGAAGCCATATCTTCAAAGTGCTTTAACATTACTAGAGGCTGGTAGGGAAGATGCAGTATTGAGGAGAGCAGAGAGGGCGGCAGAGGCGAGCTAAGTCACAAGTCTGGATGAAGGGGGTGAGGGTCCTAACCTCCGTCTGATGTGTGTGGCAGCGTGTGGTGGTCTGTGTGCAGAACCGGCTTGTTGGAGTGCACGTCTGAGTGAGGCAGAGGGTGGGAGTGAACTTCAGTGAGGGTGTCGGATAGAGACGGGGCTGAATCCAGGGTGTTGTCTGCTGGATACAGCTGCATCACCGCCCCCTCCTGGGCTCCTTCCTTACTGCACGACTGGCAGCTACAGTGGAAGATCCGCTCCACCAGCTTGTCCACCCGCGGGGACTCATCGCTGCCCGGACAATCCAGAGTCACCTGGAACAAAACCCCATGCAAGCATGTGAAATCAAAAGAATACACTATTCATTTATCACTGACACTTTTTTTATGTTTCACTGATTCTATATTTTTGTTTGTTTACTCATTTATTAACTCAAAGTGTATTTCATGAGAAGTTTAGCACCAGCTTTTCCTTATCCGTGACATAAAATATGGCTGTTAAAGTATGAACACAAAGCCACATGTGGATAAATAAATGTGTGTTTGATCTCCCTCTTAGCAGCGGATTTCGAGTCTCAAGTCTCTCTGTCTTTTTGTTTTGTTGAAGCCGTATTTTCATTCTAAATGGTTTGTGTAGAGAATGCCTGACATTCAGCGGAACAAAGAAACCCTGGGAAAAACCTTAATAAAAAGTAAACAGAAAATATACAAACCCCCGTAAACCTTGGTGCTACAAAAGCTCAGCCGGCTCTCCAGACCTCACACATATGCCCCTCACTGTTTCCATTTTCCACTAAAAATGGTCATTCAGCAAATCTATCAAGAGCCAAAGCAGCAGGGAGCAGTATCCTCTTTCGTGAGAGCTGACTTTGCTTCGCCTCAAACTGTATTTTGTTTAAAGTCCTGAAACAACAATCATATCCAAAGACATAAACACCCATTTTCAGATCATTAGGAATAAAGTAAAATGTGTAAATCCCCTTTACTTCTGCCTTTATTATGCAACAGAAATGTTAGGAGAAGAGAGGAAAATTATTGAAATGATGTGGCAACAGCTACCAGCTCTAAGAGATACAATATTTTCCACTGAAACATAAGGTGACCTCACCTGTGGCTTCATCTGGTTTGTCTACCCGGCACCGCTCCAAACTACATAATCTCACCACAAAGACTGTTTTCTCAAGAGTGAATTCCTTTCTGGCTAAAGACAGACAATGAACTTTAAAAAATGCATCATAGTCAGGCTTCATTTCCACTTATTCTGCTTAATTTTCTTCCCCTCTGCTTTTTATTTTGGTAGAAAGCCGAAAATCCTCATCATCTTTCATGTGTGAAGCTCATGGTTTGTGTCCTAGTTTGACAAGTAAGTGTTGGTGTGCGCTCGCTACATGAGCTAATGTGCAATAACTCTTACCACTTCCCACTGTGTCTGGGCAGGCATGCAGGAGTCACAGTGCACCAGAGACTCGGTCGACTGTGGGAATGTGTTGGGGACGCTGTAACTGAAACATTGGCCCAGACAAGCTCTGCAACGAGGAGGAGAGAGTACATGATTTCAAATGGGCCCAGATTCAGACACGATGTGCGTAATCAGACTGCCTGACCAGAGGGCTCATGGCTGTGGAAGCAAGGGCTGCGGGGAAAAGAAGGCCTGAAATCTGAACTGACTTACCATGTTTGGATGTTTGCAGTACAAAAGCAGTTACAAAATGGAGACTTGCTTTTCACAAATGCTGGAGAATCATCTGCCAACTTGTAATAGGAAATTAAATGCTTTTCTTTTCCCCTCACACTGCAGAACAAATCCTTGTAAACAATGTGACTCTTTAACCTTATCAACTTAAACTGTTCACCTTTGCATATTTTCTTTTTTTCTGGTGCAACCTTAGACATTGGAGTGATGGGAGTGTTATTGAACGAGTTACACCAGCGGACGGCTCAGATTTATAGCGTCGCCCAATCTGGCTGAGCACATTTACGGGTAGAAAAAGTTCAGTTTGGAATGTTGTGTGCCTATCATGTAGCTTTTAGGGGTAGATTAACCAGTTCTACAAGATTCCGCTCACTTTAGGACACCATTAAAAATCCCTTTTTGATAAAGGCAACAAAAACAAATGCTTGACCTGCTTCGACTAACGTTTGTCCTGTCCGCTCTCACACCCACGGACAACCGAATCAAGCAGAATGTGGCTTCTGTAAATATCTATGCAAAAAGAATAACAACTTGTATCATTTTAATGAGGAGTGCAGAATTAGGTTTAGACTCTTGTATTAGTCATAGACCAGGTATAGATCTAATCATGGGAAGCAGAAAGGAGAAAGGAAAAAAACACAAATAAATTTAGTTACTTGTTGACATGCTCTGCCCAAGTGAAAACCAGAGTACAAAATCTGAAACTAAAAATGTAATCTAGCCTTTAAAAGGAATAAAAGAACATGAAATTCTGTTTAAAGGTTGCCATCTTAGGAGGGAACCATTTGGCTAATGGGCTGAATGCCATACAACAAGAGAATAGACACAGCAGCATTGAGTTGCTCTTTTCTTAGGACATGACAGAAATGTAATTAGTTTTTCAAAGGAAATCCATGATGTAATTGGATATCTGAGGGGAGTTTCAGACAACAAGGTGTAGAACAGTTATCTGCAGGGACAATAAAAAAATTCTTTATTTCAAAAGTCATGTTTGGATGATTTTGAAATGGGCACTAAAATTTTCTGATGTGTTTGAATGTTGTCCACAGGAACAATGGACTGCCTTTCTTAGCATATAATCACACTATTTTGTCAGTGGCAACTTTTTCAGCCTTTAGAAAGATGCTTACTGTAGTAAACCTACTTGCATAGTATGACCACAAATTTGGTATTACAAGACAGTTGTTCTTAAACTTACTGTCTATACATGCTACCATACCGTATTTCCTAGCGGGTATTAAAACAAAAAGGCAACTAATTTATTGCTCTGGCTTTTCCTCGAACAAGAGCTTTTCTCACTAATTCCCTCAATGAATTTGATAGAAACCTGGTAAAGAAAACATTAACTTTAATTACAAATCACCATGGCAAATGTTAGGTCAAGTTGACAATAGAGTGCCCTCTACAGGATCAGAAGACACTTCTCTTCAAAAAGACTAACAATCACCCACACTCAGTGAATGCGGAAGAATTTTAAAAAGCTTTTGAATATAGAAAGGGTTATTGTGTTCAGAGTTCCGCTGTTTGAATGTATGTCAGACGCTGAAGATAAAGGGAACAACCCTAAAGGAAATCAACATTCAGAGCAGAAATGCTCTGCATATTAAACTTTTGTCTCAAATGATTTAGGATGAAGTTTGTGTTTTACAATTATTTTTGTACAAGGAGTCTTTTTTCCAGGAGGTGGATGGGTTGTTGTAGCTGTTTAATCTAAGTAAACACACCATTAGTGAACTGCCGCATAGCCAAAAAAAAAAAAAAAAGCTATTTATTCCTTCTAACTTTTGCTGCAGAGAGAAGTTTAGTAAGTGCCAGCTCCAACACGTCCCCCAAAGCGGATGAGTGATTCTGAGAATGTGATTTATCGATCGCTCGACGTGTCTGCATCAGGCGTGTTTTGTCCAGCTGCACGGAGAGATTATCAGACAGAGCGGGCCTTCATCCTGACCTGTTTTGAATAGAGCGAGGTTGACATCCTGTGTGCCCAACTATCTGTGTGATGTTCTTGGCTTCGCACCAGGCGCTCTTGTCAGGGAACAGCGCCAGGCGGTTGATGTGTGCAGGCGGTGCCGCTGAATACAGTGCAAACAGTGCGCAGCAAATCTGAATCCTCTGCCACATGACTGCACCTAAAGGAGCAGAGGAGCACAGCGTGTTAGCGCTCGGTTAACTTCGTTTGAAGGAAATGTCATCTGATTTTTCTCGGTCAGATTATGCTTGCTTTTCCGGGAACGTGAAGTTTGAACTTTACATGTCCCTGCTGTTGCAGACCCACAACTTCCCGGTGATTACCAGCTTGAAAGTGATCCCTGAGCATCTGATTTTATCGAGCTGCCAGGCCCGGGAATTTGAAATACGAATCGACAGCTTCTTAGATAATAATCACTGGGAACAAGATTATTTTTAGTTTTAAGATGTAAAGGAGACAATACAATGAGAGACAGCCTAACGTCTGTATACCTTCTGGCTATCGCACTGCTGCTGTCCTCTGTTCTGCTTCACATACTTCTTTAAAAATGCCTCAACCAGTAACATTATTTACGGCCCACAAAACGCTTCTCTCTTGTTTCTTATAAAAAGTGCCCGGTGGTCGGCTACATCCCATGTTTCACACACATTTAGCGTTTGCATTTTCCTCTAACTGGCACCGTTTGAGAATATCTAACTCTTTCATTTTCAAGCGTTCAGAGGACTGCCGTGCTGAGTAGTGAAAACCTTCATGACTTCGGTCACATAAGTGAATCATTTTGTCAGTTGATAATCTCATAGCGATAACTTGACTAAAATAAAAACCAGCAGTGGAAAGTAATTAAGGATAAAGCAGTGGAAAGTAGAGTAATTAAGTACAAGTGCTGCATTTAAGCAAGTAGCACATTGAGTATTTTATCTGTTTTTTTTATTCTTCTACACCCCATGACAGAAATTAAACCATAAAATGTTTTGATCCCCCTGTCCAAAAGATGCACTGGACATTCATCTATTGACTATGTGTTTACATTTATCGTCAATTATACTCCAGAGATATACATTATTTTGAAGCAAACCTTTACTTGGGATACTTTTGTTACTTGAACAAAAATCTAAGTACATTTAACATTTGTTTGAACACTTTCTACACTTCCATTCAAGTACAAGTCTACCCTCTAAAGATAGTATTTTTAGTTCTGTTAAATGTCCAAATGAGTGTTAAATAGCATCCGAATAGCAGATCCTTTGTAGTATTTTGCATTTCTCAGGTGGTAACAAATTGATTGATGTAATTTTAGTAGCAGGCATTCTGTGCACTTTTTAGGGCCTCTGTTTTTGTTCTCGCTGCCTGATTGTGGATGTCATTATGAGAACTTTGTGTTTGTTGATGGACACTTTTCTCTATGAGTCATTCTTCACTTAGTGCAACTATCATGGCCATCTATCACAGCTCACTGTCACGGTTAACGTTTAGTATCTTGTCTGAGGACACCTGGGAGACAGAACCAGTGACCTCCAACTGATGGTCAGGTCTTTGTTTATTACTGAACTTTTTGTGAATGTATTTCACATGATTTCCCCTCTTTTGTTTGGATGAGTTTGTACTTTTCTGTCCCTTTCTGGGATAAAACACTTAAAATAATTAACCAGGGGGGCAACTAAAAGTCACGGGTCCCTGGGTTCGTTCCTCAATAACTTAATACCAAACTTGATCAAATTAAACTCAATTATAAATAACAATTTCAGACTCGAAAAGTACGTCGTTTAAACCTGTGTCCCAACTCGAATCAGCCTTAATTTCAGATTCCAGAAAAGTATACGTTACATTTTTCTCCCCCTCAGCCCTTATTCGCTATCTCAGCTGAATAAATGAAGTTTGAAGGGTTTTTTTTTCCACCTCAAATAATTCACCGAGCGGTCGCAGTTTGGAGGCAGAGAGCGTCGCTGTCAACAAGTGGAACCTTTTCCATCTGCCTCCGATGCAAAGACGCGTGGCAGGGCTGTAACTTTCGGAGTTACTGTCTACTTTCTGAGAAACTGGCCCCGGCAGAGGTCGCGGGTTAGTTGAGCCACTCACCAGTGCGCACCATCGCCAGTTTCAGCTCCGTGAGCCGAGCCGCGTCCCCCAAACCCGCAAACCTGGACCAGAGCTCCGAGAAAACAGAGGATGCGGGTCTCCGCAGGGTATCCCGGAGAGCAGACGTGTCCACGTTCGTGGGAAGCAAAGACAATCCGAGTTCAGCCTGTCGTGAAACAGTTACATCATCCGGAAAAGAAGCAGCACCGTCCGTCTCGAGCACCGAGAAGGATGGGGAGATAGGGCAGGACGCTATCTCATCCCACAGTCCATCAGCGCGTCCACTGGCCCTCCCCTTTGTTTTCCTCCCGTGCAGAGCTCAATTCCCCCTGCAAACTCACTGCAAAACACTTTCCAAGTTGTTGTCTTTTGTTTTAAAACTCTCATGCAAGAGCTAGGCGCGGTTGAGCCCCCAGACAGGCGTCCTGCTGCGCCGTTTCTGAGCGAGGAGAAACGGGGAGGGAGGGGAAGAGCTGGAGAGGTTTCAAATGTTTCCCTAAAGAGGAGCGATCATATTTACTATATAAATATGCAAATATAACAGGATTAAACACACAGGGTATGTTTACAGTCCTCCGCACACATCTGGCATTGCTTTGATAACACATGCTGTTACATTTTACTATTGAAACATTAACAAAGTCTAATGATGCTGGAGCACAACTGGGAAACAGATGTGATTTGGGGTTATGTTCTTTTATTTCTTAAACTCCTTTTAGTGAGCAGGCACATTAAGAGCAACTCCGGGATGTTGAAATGACTTGAATAGCCGGTTAATAAACAGAAGCTCATGACAAATTGATTTATTTGAGGTCTGGAGGGAAACCACTGAGAGTCTGACACGCGTGTGTGTTGCTGAGATGCTTTTTGCTCCCTGGTTTGGCTGACCTGAGTGAACCTTTTTCGAGTCTATTTAGATGAGAGTGCAGGGAATTCGTGAGCCCACCTTTTGGGCTCATGAATCCGATTGCCAAATCTGCCACGATGATAAATGTCCATGTCTCTCTGAGACAAAAACACAGACAGTAACATGACGCACCATTCGCTGTCTCCGAAAAGGATGTGGATTCTCAAGGAAAATAGAAAAACCTACAAAAGTTGGATGTTAGCTCTGACTCCATTAAAATTTCCACAGTAAAAGACTGACTTGAACTAAAAACCAAAGGCCATATGAGCAAACCCAGCAACATTGTTAAAAGTAATTTCATGAATTACAAAGCTCAGTTTGTGTGGTTGAGGCCACATTCGCCCAAGTATTGCATACACTGAAGAAATGAGCATGTTGTTTCTAACTCACTCTTCTCAATTCAGGAGACCTAAAGAGAAATATGCAACATTTAAAGGAACAGAAGGCTCCAAAGACTGTACAAATTGAGATTTTACATATGAATGCTAAATCTGCTTGATATTCCAAGTTGGTAGCTGATTCACTAAATGGTTTCTCTTCGTCAAAGTACAAAATCAGAGGAATAAACGCATCACATATAGGTGCAATTTTCTAAATTCTATAATAATAGTCACAAATGCTGTATCAGATGACTATGGATTTAATACAATAAAAAGTGATTTCAACACAAGGTGCTCCTCACTGCTGGCTGCCACTTTTAAAAAAATGTAACGATGATAACGAAGACTGATAAACAGTCACTACAGTTTCTTGAGTTACAAGCAGTAAAATGTTGGTTTGAGGCGAACCTTGTCACACATGTTACTTTCCTCATCATTGTGTTTCGGGTTTAGTCTGAAGTCAAAAGTGAGTGGGAAAAAAAAAGGGTAAAGCACAGGCTGTCATAAAATTACCCAGTTGTACAAAATGAAAGGTAGAGCATATGCCACATAATTGCTCTTAAGTGGAACACCTCATTAGATCAGTTTATTTAACTTAATCACCTCCGGTAGCTTTGAGGTCCTCAGCCTTTCAAAGCAACACAGTGAACACAGTGAATAGCATTAGCGCTCTGCAGGTCATGCCTGCTCCTGTGTGCCCACGCAGATCCAGCTCCAAATCACAGCATCAATACCATGCTTTTCCTTGCCGGCAGGGACTTCATTCTTCCTCTGTCAGGCTGTCAGGGCCTAAGAAGGACCACTTCCTGTCGGTTGCTCAAAATGTGTTTTCAGACAGGAGACATGAATGTATATTTAAATATGTGCATGAAGCATACTTGCCAAGTAAGTTTAGATAAAAAAAGAAAATAAATAAAAACCCTTTTGAACAATTCCTTTTTGGTGGTGCTATCATCCAGTAAATTCATAGTTGAGCAGTTTTTATTTATCAGATGGACATTTGTGATAAGGTTAATGGATTAGATTTATCACGGAGAATTCCCAGACAGGCGTACTCTTTGGATTTTGGCTGCTCTGCTGCAGACACACAAAGCGATATCCCATTCCTGCCCTGCTTTGGACCGATGCACCTTTGCTCACAGGTGTTCAGCCTGGCTCACATCCACGAACACCCCTATCTGCTTCACGCTTCACTTGCAAACAAATATTTTAATGGAAAGGGGACGAGTGACACGGCTTAATTTCTGACAGGGTTACTCCATGCTTGATACATCACAGCACACCAGCAGTGAAGGAAAGGGCCTTTGAACACATTGGAACAAGTTTGGCTCTTTTGTGTGAAGGAATGTATGTGCTTACATTACTGGAAAAACTGATGAAAAGAGCAAATATGATCGTCGTGTGTAATTTAGAGTGCATGCGGCAGTCTGGTCTTTGATGTGAAAGTGTTCAACATGTGTTATGCTCAGACGTGCAAAGTGCAGAACTCACCTGTTAGTAATAAGACCGAGCTCCGGTCCAGAAAAGGCATTTCTCTGCATTCCAAAGATTCTGCTCCACCAGGGGGCTGAATAAACGTGTGCACAATCTCACACTAACCACCTAGCAGGCTCATGCAACCACACATAGGTTACAAAAGTCATCAATCACACTCTGAGCAATCTTGTCCGAGAAACACAGAGCCAAAAGATACAAAAGAACCCGAGGTTTCTCTTCATACGTAGATGCATGCTTGTTAACTCGCTGGGGCGAAAACAGTTACCGTCATGGCAAAAGCACTCCATCTCCTCCCACAAGCTATGACAGGGCTAGGGTGCATGCTTTATGGGGTTATGCCTTTTATAAATAAAATAAAAACATTAAAAAATTAAGATCAGTGTCTTAAAATAAATGTAGGCATCTGTACCTGCAGCATACCAATGTCCGCATACAGGAAAACCAGTGGATGTTCACACAACTGAGTTCAAACAGAACTTTCCCTCTTTAAAACCTCTCTCAACACCAACTTTGTTCTTCATCAGACTGCATGTCTTTATTCCATCATTCAGTACAACATATTATACTCCCACACTCAGAAAGGGCTGCAGATGCTGAACCTGGCCCTCATTCCAAAACAGCAGGAGTTCAACTCTCCCAGCTCATTAACACACAGAATTACCTCCCACCCCCAAAACCACATTTTCATTCTTCTCAGGCATTCACAGAAAAACCGAGGGGCAAGAAAAAGCTTTCAACAATGACTTTATTAAATATACATTAATCGCCTTCTGATTAACACAACGGGTGCATCGTCGGGTGTTCGTGCCAGCCCAGAGACGAGCATCAGAATAACAACACCAGCACAGAAACAGATGACAGAGTCCCCGATCGTTGCTCTCCTTCGTCACTGGTCCTGGGAAGATACACGGAGAAACGACTGAGAGTGACGCATTCCTGTGTCATAATCCTTTCAGAATCAACACATTTTCCGACGTTTACTGACCTTAACCATGCGGCCATGAATCAGATACGGTGATCTGAAGTCGTGCTGGCAGTTGCTGTAGGCCATCCCCAGCCCCGAGCCTGAACCGAATGCCACAGGCCACGTGCGACCTAGAGCAGATGAACAAGCACCGCCGCGTGTTTTCACAAGCCACGATTACCCACAACCGGCCTTATCTGGGGATACTTACGTTTGAATAAAAGGACGGACAGCACAATGCCAACACCTAGGCCTGTTACTGCAAACACAGAGAGAAAACAAAGGGTCAGAACATCAGAGAGAAACTTCATGAGAGGGCCAGATTGCAGAGACAAATAAAACGCATGCCAAAATAGTTACAATAAACACAAGTAGATCGAATTTTAACACTTCAAGCAAATGCGTCGATCCATTGTGATGCCGTAGCACTGGAAAGTTAAAGTAGCCAGTCTGGTATCAGAACAATACCAAAGAGAAAAGATCCAGGACAGAAAGAAAGCTGCAAACGGAGGGGGATGCAAAGGGGGGAGTTGAGCTGCAAAAGGGGCGATGGCTGTTCACCGGGCAGGTGACGGGAGGGGTGAGCAGTCGGTAAGTGCACATGAGCCTGTTGACCACGTAAGATCAAGCAGATTGTCAGTCAGTGACATAAGGCTGTTGAAAATCCTCAGACCAGAGAGGGATTTTGAGGAGGAATGTGTTTGTGCGCTTAGTTTCACCTCGCTGCAGGCCACACCACACCCAACAGCAGGCCAGCCAGCACAAAAAAAACACATAAAAACAGCCATTTGGGCCCCTCCGACTCCTAATTGGATTCAGAGAACTATGCAGCATGACCAGTGTGCCTGAACCAGTACCCAGACTGTTCTTTATTACACAACTTACAAATGTCAAACAAGACCACAAAAACCTCAGCTCATCTTTATTATCACCACAATATATCATGTATCTCTGCTTCAATTTTCAGAAAATGACTCCGTTAAAATTCTCCATATGTTACAGCTCCAGTCTTCCTTTGCTCTTCAGCCAGAGCGTTTCTAAACCACAGATTTTCCACTGACAGTAATACAATAAAAGCTCTGGGAAAATATGAGGGCAGATCAATATCTCATTTTGGCATCCTTTGTTTTGTCTGGACATCTCTAAGGAGGCTGGATTATAACAAAAACGTTCAGGCTCCAGTAGAATGACATGAAAAACCCACAGAGTTTTCCAACAAATTCAATCCAGAACTGGTTAATTTCACTGTTATTTATTTACTCAAAGTATCTTCACCAAATAGAGTCAATAAAAGAGGTCATTTGAAATCATTCTGTTAAAGTTCTGGGACAATCAAGTTCTCTAGCAGCTGTTTTAGGTCAATATAGCCACTCTAAAATTATAATGACTCATAGATTTGTTTAATTCACCACTCTTTAATTTCAAACCCTAAATAACTATTATATATATATATATATATATATATATATACACACACATAAAAAAAAATTCAAGTTCATACATTTTAATTTCTTCCCAAAAAAATGTCAATCCTAAAATATAAGTTTTCATTTCTCCACCAATAAAAAAGAAAACATTAAACAAAACATTATTTTCTTGGAAACAGTTGCCTTTGTTTTAAAAGGTCCATGCTCACACACAGTGCAAGCATATATATGATGTACAAGGCAAATAAGTTAAGGATAAGTCAGCTAGAGCCTTGAAAAAAAAAGGATTTAAAAAAATCAGTTTTTAGCCTGGCTGTATGGCCGGTTAAGTCAGGTCACTGATTTAACACTAAATCAGTTTACTTCTCTGGATGCCAACGAAGTGCAACTAATTTTATATTCCCTCAGAACAAGGGGTGCTTCAATGATAAATGCATTACCCGCACACAGGAGGAGAACAGTTTTTTAATACAACCAAGCAAATCATCCCAGCTCAAAGTTAACGGCAGAGCATATGCCACAGAGCTGCTCTTAAGTAGAGCAGCTTGGGAGCCAATTATGAAAACCAGCCAAAGCCCTAACCACACACTTAGGCTTCATTCACAGCAGCGGTCAACAGGAAATTGGCTGACCTGAATCGTTTGATATGCTAAGACTCAAACTTCTGCTTTTCCACCACCGCTGCTCACCACTAAATGATAACACACCTCTCTTTGGATCAGAGGAAATCACAGGAAAAGACCCTAAAATGCTTGAATACGGGCAACTGAACTGAACTGAAGCCTCCAAAAAGTCCAGTTACCTTTACAGAAGCTCTTTGACCGCTCGGGAGAAAATTCAAGCCTGCTGCATCGATGACCAGCTGTTTATGCCGAACGGACTGCGGAACATATGGTAAAAGGGTTTTTCTCCAGTTGCTGAAATAAGTTTCAAATAAATGCATTGGTTTCCTGTTAGCAGAGGATGTTGCAGCCTGCTCCCCTCTGCTGCATCAACCCACATGCAGTTAATTTTTCAGTCCCAAAAGGAGGCTGATTTGACCTTTCTCATGATCCTTTCCATGTTTACCCCCCGAAGTCCATTAAGCCTGATCGTGTGCTGTGAAATACTCTGACCTTTGATGATGCTTGGAGCAAAGAAGCTCCATCTCACTTCTTTTGCTGTATCGAGAGCAATGTGCAAACTTTTAAAACTGTAGAGGTCATGAGTGAGAAGGCTTGAATTGCCAACACTTGAGCTTCAAAGATGTGGGGAGCTGTAATATCAGAGAAGTTCACCTGACTAAAGCGGGCCCTTTATCGTACACCGGTTAGAGCGTGCATCTTAACTCGGCAAAAGGAAAAAAATATAGCTCACTCCACTGGAATGCTTCTCGTGACCTGGGACGCTCCATGTGGGCACAATTATGCGCATTATGAACTCAGGGCCCAGATGTATAATACTCTGCGCAGTTTCAAGACTGAAACCCTGTGTACATACAAAGAGAGAAATGTGCTCATGCATTCTTTTCAGCAGATTTATAAAGCCACATGTACTTATGGTTTTCTTCTTCTTTTTAGAGTCAAGCATGGGGATTTTTTTTTTTTAATCAAAGCGCACAATGTGCCTTTTATTCTCTATTTCTAGCCACAGATGGACATAGACTTTCCTCTAATTAACAACTGTCATGAAAGTGAATGCAACAACATATAAGAAGTACAAATTTCACCCAGTGAGAAAATAAGAATTTCCCCAGTGACGGTGTGAGAATTAAATCTATTTGATTTGGAGGTTTCTGACCCGCCTTTGAAATCTGGAGCCGGTCCCTCATACGGCTCCAAAACAAAAGCCCCGTAAAAGCTAAAGCTGTGCACGTGCCAAAATCCCAATATTCTCCAAATGCTCATTATCTTCTTAAAAACTCTACAAGCAAGGTCTTCCAACAACGCCCGAGCAGCCATCTGCTGTTGCGCAGTGTTGCAGCGATTTGGAGCGTCCACAAGTAAATTATGGGACATCGTAAAAATTCAGTCCGTGTTCAATGTATCACTTCCACAAAGCCTAAGTGATGCATATTCATTATCCTGAAATTGGTTAATGCAGCCTAGCCGCTGATATCATTACACAGCTGCAGAAATCTTCACAATCCACTTTGTGAGTGTGGGAAGAATGTTTTACAGAAAATAGGAAAGCAGGATGCAGTTTGATGAAGGAAAAATAACATAGTAAATTCTGGTAGGATATTCTAGGGAGAAGGCTACAATGAATGATTAAATCAGTTTATTTAAACTAGCATATGACATTTGCTCCCAGTTCGTCCATTCTGAAGAGTTAGTTGCCTTAACCCTAACCTTAACCCTAACCCAGCTGTGAGCTCGACACTATACCGCCTCAAGTGTCTATTCTTACAGTGTGTGATGTGGGAAGAGTCTGGGAACCAGGTAAATAGGGTAAACACCTAACATACTTTAGTAATACTACAGCTGTTGTATGCTTTACAAGCTGCGTCACGAGCATTTTTATTTACAACCGAATCAAAATACGAACGTTAACATTAATCTTGAAACAAGGAATCATTTCACGACCAGACGTTTACTTAAAACCAACAAATGAATAGCTTTATCCATTCAGTGGAAAGCTTTGACCTTAGTAACATCTATCAGAGTCAACATGGGAAGACGAATATACTGTCAAGAAAGACTGTATCCGTCCTTTTTTTTCCCAAGATGATCCATTTTTAACACTTTAGTAAGGTAACAAAAATGATATCACATTTATGGAAGGATTTAAACCTGTTTTCAGGGCTGTATCAGCTAGGCACCGGTCCCATTTTCGTCCGTATTCGTCTGCCATGTTTCCTACGGTCAGGAAGTCTCAGAGAACATCGCGAGAGAAATGAGGTCACATGGACACTGACGTCACTGATCAGCTCTGTCCGACTGATTCGGGATTTCTTTTATAAATGTTCACGTTTTACTTACCCTTTTGTCAGTCTTGTTTAGACATGTCTTGATATATTTTTCTTTTTCACCAACATAATCATTTTTGTATCGCGGGACTTCTGGCATGTAGTGTGCTGCTACTTTTGACATAGACTTTCAATGTATTTCTTCTATTCTTCTATATTTATCTATATATTTGACTTGGTATGAAACGGATTCCTAAGAGTAAATTATACTAAACACAAATAGGCACCAGCCTCCCCACGACCCTACTAAAAATAAGCGAAATAGATAATCTATGTATGTATAATTACTGAGAAACTTTGGTCAGGAGAATCCTTCCTTTCATGTCAAAGAGATATTAAAGAAAACTAAACAAAGTTATGTAAAGAGAATACTAAATGTATAAATCTAGTGCAACTGTAATCCACAAATATTTTTCTCCAGAACCCGTGACTAAATCATATCATAAATATTGTGGAACAGATCAGTTAATCAATTGCCACTGTTTCTTCTTTTCAGGCTCTTCTTTGCTTTTTATTTTTAAACAATTGTTCATATCTTATTTACACCCACACTTTTTTTCAAATGCTTCTAAAACCATCATGTTTTTTCATCTTTTTTTCCCCTGATGGCTCGATTTTGATTTCTTGCGGCTTCTACTATTATCACAGAAACTCTGTGGCTTATCTATGGAATTTGATTTTTATTTTAGTTGCAAAGATTAGCCCTGCATTTTTACAAATAAATAATGGTATCCTCCTTAGTTTTTCAGAGTGATGCCTCCATTGCAGATTCTTGGAGATTATCCTCAAGCTATTTAGATGTTTTGCATAGTTTTTTGCCAATTCCTGCACAACCTTTGCTGATTTATCTCATTGAATTTATTCTTAGTTCCACCATTTGGAAGTTATCTTACAGTTTTATTACAGTGAAACATCTTGGCAATCTCACAATGTAAAACAGGAACTAAGAGAAATGTGAATACCGACCTTTTGAAGTAGGTCTGTTTTTTATGATAGCATGCTCAGACAAAGCTTTTCATTTTCATCCAGTGAAAAAACCACACCCTCTGATTTGGTGAATGTCAGTAATCTTTTTGCACAAAAACAAAATAACATTCGATGCGTATGAGTTTTTAATGTGTCTCAGTTTAATTTTGGAGAGTGGCTAATATTTATTGAAGTTATGTTTGAACACTGCAGTATAGGAAATCTATCAAATAGCCATCATATTAGACAATTCAAGACAGGTTTATTTGTACTCCCATTTCTGAAGTGCTAAATGTTGTGGGAATGTATAATTAATTCACAAATATTTCCTTCTTCATTGTAAGTTTAACATGTCAAAATTTCTGTTTACAGACAAAAAGCAGAGAAAAACAAAACTGCTGTTTTAATAAAATGGGAAAGACTTTTTTAGATGATATAGTTTAAGAAGGAAATACTCATTTAAATGAAATTTCTAACAAGGTGTGGCAATAACAGTGGACATCATTAATAACAGAAGCATCAACTTTTTACGAACAACTCTGTTTACAAGAGGGGCATTTGCCGTTGTTGTTTGAAACACTGAATCTGTTTCCATCTTCACACGACGTTCATTCTGCTGACTGTCTATCCACTGCCCTATCTGACTGCATGTTTCCTGTACCACTCCTCTCTTTCCATACTTGGCAATGCCTTTCTCGCTTCTCCGCTATTGGCTGCTGCACAGAAGGCCCGGAGTGACCCGGACGTACAACCGAGGCCTGTTTTCTCGCCGCAGCCTCCTTCCTGTAGCCCGCTTGAGGAAGTGAATTTCGCTGACAGGGCTGGGTTCACAGTAAGGTAGAGGCGAACAAAACATCTTCCGCGGGGGACTAAAAAAAACAACCAGAGGAGCAACTTCATAAATCGTAATAAAGCTAAGGTGTACACACATTGGTGATATCAAGCTCCCCTGCCCCGCTGAGACCGCCGCAGACATGGTAAGGGCCGCGCTACAGCTGCTGGGAGAGACGGGGACGAAGCAGAAGGGTTTTGGTGGGGTTCTGCTAAATTCACGGCTAGAGGGGCTAAGACAAGCTTATACTAAGCGAGGGCTCAGGGCGGTAACTTGAGAATACCAGTGAACATAACTCACCGCTACTTTTAACTTGCATTGTGAGCTAAACTTGTGCGTTGCGGTGGAGAATGTATTAGCTTCGTGGCTAAACTAGCTTCAGCTTCTTCCTGCTAGTTAGCTGGTAGCTAATGGCTTGTCAAGCTACATGCCTCGTAGGCATGAAGTTAGCACAGGATGTTTTGGATTTGACACAAGTTTGCTAACAGCAATGGCGAAGATTCCAGTTATAGCACACATCCAGCCGTACACACACGCTTCATCCCAGGCTATAATAGTCAAGTGCCGGGTTGCCTGTAGCTAAAATAAGACTGCGCGCTCCTCCTTTTCCAAACCATGACAAGCTGTCAGACTCCTGCAAGATTTCCCTGCTGTGAGAGTTTGATCATGACTTTACTCGTATTTTCGGTCCAATCATGTCAGAACGCGTTCTGAACGTGAACTTACTGAATTTCCAGCCACTCTTGAAGTTTGTATGGTATTACTGTCACCTTAAATTGGGTATTGATTTATTATCAACAAACGCTTAGCATAGACTTTGAAACAGGCAGCACATGCAAAACAGTCAGTGCACACAGCAAACCTGAGTACTGCACGCATTTCAAATGGGCGTTAAATAGACTAGAGCACCTCTGATATTTAGGCACTGACAGTGGTTTTAATTATCTTTGTGCAAATGTTGTCAAATATCTGCAGCTCTTTCCTGAGGTTTATTGTTTTAAACGTCCTCGCAGGATTCCAGTGCACTTTGTGTGTCTGAATTATGTTTCACACAGTCACTTTGAATACCAAGGGATTTAGCAATGTGTCTTGAGATGAGTCCAATCCTTTTCATTTGTCTTACAAATGCGTTTTCTCCCCCATTATCTAAATCTTGCTGTGCTTGAAGTGGGGTGAGCAGATGGGTTTTCTCTAAAGACACCTTTTCTATTTTTCTTGTTTCATCTCATCCCTCCTGCTGGCTCAGCCTCGTTGGTGTCTCCTGACCTCAGGGGTTATTACTCTGAGCCAATGTTTATACGGAGACGGCATCGCTGGTAAACGCATAGGCAGGAACACAGGTGTCTGATGGAGCGTGGGGGTTCATCAGTCAGCTAAAAGATGTTTAGGGTGGGTGGCAAGAAACTTGGAGGAGAGAAAGTGACATGGAAGACTTTCACCACTATGTGTTGGGTTACCCTTAAAGAAAATATTTATGATACGAGGGTCATGATGATGAGTGATGGCGGATGGCTCTTCATAATGTTTTACACTGAAGAACTGTTGAGTCGTGAAACTCTTCAAGGCAGTATAAATAAAAAGAATTCCTGTTGTCCTTTTTCAAGCTTTTCGACTGCTCACCAAGATTTGTATGTTAGTGGGATTAAAGTCACATAAGTCAAGTTATATCTATAGTCTGATGCCTGAATAAAAATGTTTTAAGCATAAAGTCAGCAAGCCCAGGGGCTAAGCTGAAAAAACATCTGTGCTTCTGTTGTACCTCCTATTTTGTTAAAAGTACATCTTCCTCCACAGTCCCCTTGGTTTCATGTTGAGGCTGGTCTGCTTTCCACTGCTCAGTGATGTCCTGTCGCTTACCGCATATTTAAGGAAGCCCCTGGGGGAAGAATAGGAACTGTAGTACTCTGTGTCCTCTTTGCTGTTTAGTTAGTTTGAAAATGTCTTCATTCACTTAGACAATTTTACTATTTGTTTGCTTTTTTAGTTTTTTCTTCATTTTGTGAAACTGGTTCACAAGTAAAAGGGAAGCTATTGTACTATAAAAACTTTCATTAGCATAACTTTGCTAGGATTGAGACCAAACTGATAGGTTTAGACATTGACTCTGATCTAGGCTATCCTCATCGGCTTTATTTATGCCTCCGTCCAGTGGCTTTCAGTAAGGCATTTGTTCAACAAATTTTTACAGTCCAGTTAATTGTTTTCAGACTTTAAAAATAATACTTTGGGTGGAGAGGGATTAAGCTGCATCGAGTGACATAACCTGCTGGATCACTATCCCAGTGTGAAGGGAACGGAATCAGATATGATCGAGTGTACAGGCTGTATCAGATATCTTTTTGCCAGCCTATTACTAAATTTGTATGTGAATGTGTCACACAAGTGATGACCTCACCCAAACAGTGAAGTCACAGCAGCTAAATGACTTTTTGAGCAAAATGTGCAAAATACTTGTCAGATTTCCAGAAATGTTTGATTTTGACATTTTTTATTTTACTACAGCGTTACCATCACAGTGCCAGTGAGAGTTTCCACTTTTCACATTTTTTAAAGAGCTTTTCCCGTCTGTAGCAGATGTGGTTGTTCTTTGATGCGTACACTTTTCTCCATCAAGATATTCAAAGTTCGGCCTGGTATTCTCTGTGTCACCTGCCTGCCAGATATGCCACTAAATAGTCATCAAACATATATGCTTTGTTTCTTGACCCTTTCAGAAAGGAAAAAGTGTTTGGTTTTAATGGTAATTGCAACATTTGATAAAAATCACCTCATAAATAAATATCTTTTTCCATAATTTCCTACTCTGCCATTCAACAAGAAACTAGATGATTATGATGTTACAGAAATTCACATTAGGGGTGTAATGTGGTGCCTCCTCTCCCTGCCCTCTCCCCTCATGACATTCATCAGGCTGTATTTGCCAAACCGTTCACATGCTCCAACAGCTGATGGACTAAATCTGCTCTGCTTAGACGTAGCCTGAAGAGCCAACCATGTGCTGATGTGTGTTGGTTCTGTCCGCTGTGAGCGATCTCTGGCTTTTATCTGCAAAATGCACATGATGAATCATAAGTGCAGCTCAGCCTGGTGTGGTCTCTGTAATTTCAACTGGCAAAGAAGTGTTTGTCCACAAGGGTGTGAACGCTCTCTTGCCAGGCGACTCATCTCATACCCATATACAGAATGTAGCAGCACTTCAACATCGGGCTGGTTTTGAGAAAGAGAGCTAGAAATGGTCCTTTCTGTGTGATTTTAAAACATGCCAAACTTGGCCAACTCAATATTTTACCAGTGTGTTTTTATTTTTTATTTTTTTTACAAATAATGAAGCTGCATGGTGTTAATAATTTATAAGCCCAGTTTTTAGATTGTTCATTCTAAGTCCAGTATGTCATCTGTGTAAAGAAAAGAATGAAGTCAGTCTGGGCAGTTTGAGCAAAAATCTGATTGTAGTTACCACTCTGACTAAATCAGGAGAATGCCCTCATTGATGATAAAAAAATCAAATGAAAACAGTGTTGAACTTCCCCCATGCAAAGCTTCACAGTTGATACTGAGATGATATTTACTCAGCGTCTTGTTTAGGCTCTTAATGACACCTTCATGTATTCATTGCACCACACTATATGTCAGGCATCAGTTTTACTACAAATCTAAAAGTCTTTTAAGTGCATTTGAAAGCTTGTTAGGTTCTTTTCAATCCGTAAGTGTTTAATAGACCTCAATAGACAAGCCCCAATCAGGACATGTATATTTCCAGTTAGGTATAATCTGCAGATGATACTTGGGCGGGCAGAAGAGGACACTTGAAGCTTCAGGGTGTGCTTTGATAGCAGCTGCTTCACAGACAGTAATAATCCACTTAAGCATCTCTGTGTTTCGCAATAACGAGGATTCATTTCTGGGACCTTTGCCAGTCTACCGTTGCTAGTTTTTGGTGAAGGGTTTGTTTTGGGCACAGTGAGCTGCTTTTGGGCTGCAGTACTCATAATTCTACTCCTGGAAGAAAAGATTATTATTATTAAAAATAATGTTTTTGGAGTCATTTTAGGCCTCGTGACCTGTTTATCGTGTGCAAAAAATGACTTTAGCTAATATTTTCATGGCGTCGAAATGAGGACGGGGGAAGTATAGTATTAATCTCCTTTTTTATTTTGTTAAGAACAGGAGAAGAACATCTTTTGAGTGGCTTGGTCTTTGATTTAGAAGAAGGCTCTCATGAGAAAGACTACAACATATGTGACACTGCACTGTTTAATCTTGGAAACTGGTGTGTTGAAGCACACATGGTGATTCAAACATCATTACTGAGCTCGCTGCTGACTGTGTGTTTCAGAATGACCAGCAGCTGGACTGTGCTCTGGACCTGATGAGGCGTCTGCCTCCTCAGCAGATCGAGAAGAACCTCAGTGACCTCATTGACCTGGTGAGTGACTCTTTGGTAAACGGTCAGACCTCCAAACCAGTAAACATCCATGACAGCTTTTTTTAAAATAAATTCAATCTTGAGTGTAGGGTGTTTTGTTTTTCCCTAACAGAATGAGATCACTGGTTGAAGTCCCTGTTTGACCAGTTCTAACTCAGGAAGAACTTTTGTTTTACAACTCCAGAGATAAAGATCTTGTTCTGCTGTGGGTTTTAACATTTGCCTTGAAGGATCAGGAAAACATTCAGTGCTGCCCTCTTCACCAAGTTAATCTGGGATAGACGATAGCCATAAACACAAAAAGCAGACATCGATACACGTTGTAGACATTGTTGAGTGCAAAATTAGCTTTCAATCAGTCTGAATTACAGAGGAATTTCATATTTACATAGAATTTATTGGCTATATTTAGTAGTGAGGGATTTAGTAATGCAGGCATTATGGCCTATGTCCTCCAATTAGTGTTTTCAGAATTGACTTCACTTACACCTGTATATGAGTCATTTGTTTCTTTCCCACAGTGTTCTGTGTCTTTTCCTTTCACCAAATTAAGCTCAATCAGACACAAATCAGATCACACTTGTTCACCTGCTCACCTTCCTCCTCTCTCACCTTTAACCCCTGTCCCCTGGACATCTGCTCTTTTCTCTCCCCGTGACCACTGTGTCTGGTTGTTAGTGGTTATTATTGCAGCTGTCAATCACCTCACTTCTTTTTCTTTTTTCTGTTTTTTCTTCTTTTTTTTTTGGCTCCATCCTTGTTAAAACTTTCCATAACATTCAAAATTGACACTTTCTTTCCCGTGTATTCCAAATCTCTCATCCGCAAGTCTGTCCCATTGTAGGCTCCTTTTCCTCTCGTCCTGTTCTAGTCAGTCTGGGTGTCCAGGTGTGTGTGTGTTCTGGGGTATGGGGTCTTTTTCAGGATAACAGGGCCTCCTTTGTGTCTGTGCTCTGATGCAGGGGCATGAGGACAGGGGGCTCCATGTCAGTCTGTGAGAACTAATTTGTACCCCATAATATCCTCCAGATATTATGTTTCCAAATGATATTGTAACTCATCTGTTGAGTGGGTGAGGCAGGAATGTGTAAGAAGGACTAAAAAAAAATTCAAATCAAAGACCAGGTCCTTGATGTTTTGCTTTCTAGTCTGTTCTCCTAATTCCCTCTGACCCTTTTCGTGTTCCCATCTGTTACAGAAAGTCTGAATAAACCAAAATATCTTGTTACTATGTCTCATGTCTGCTGTTCGGTCACAGAAATATAGTCAGCTGTTCAGCAGCTGGAGTAAATCATACAGCAGCAGATATTCTGTTCATGAGCTAATAATTATTTTTTCCCTGTGTTTCTACCCAGGTGCCCAGTCTGTGTGAGGACCTCCTCTCTTCTGTGGACCAGCCCCTGAAGATCGCCCGGGACAAAGTGGTGGGAAAAGACTACCTGCTCTGCGATTACAACCGAGACGGCGACTCCTACAGGTTGATTTCAGAACTGCACTTAAGTTGTGCAAAAGGAGCACAAACTAGGCCATTGTCATTTAATCTGTTGCATGAAAAAAGAGAGCACAGAAAGCAAATGAAATCCTGCTTTCAAGCTTCGGTCTCAGCACACCTAGATCCACTTAAAATTAAACTGCATTTGTTGCCAGTCGGCGTTGCAAAGAATCCACACAGACTGCCGTTTAAAACCACATTTTCAGATTACCCTTCATTATGTTTCTCTGGGAAAATGAGACTTATATTGTAATGAACTCTGAAGATAAACACTCTCATTGCACTGACTCTCCATGGTTGGAGTCATTTCCCCAAATTTTTACTGCCGTTTTTCTCCCATGTCTTTCCACACGTTTCTGCCAAGTGACTTATCAAATCCCTACATTTATTCATTTTTATTAGTTTTGTGTGAGGGCTGAGTGTCTGGCAGTGCAAACCAAGTATGCTGCTCTCAAATCACAAAACTGCACTAGTTTTATTTCAGCAAAGTTTGTGTGCTGTGATGTCAAACTGACAAAAACAATCAGTGTTTATCAAAGACTTTACACCCTTAAAACCCACTTTCATCCACATCATTATAAAATCTGGAGCATCTTTCTCTTAATAAATCAGATATTATGTCATTTGTCAGATCCCCGTGGAGTAATAAATATGAACCTCCCATTGAAGATGGTGCAATGCCTTCAGCTCGCCTGAGGAAGCTGGAAGTGGAAGCCAATAACGCCTTCGATCAGTACAGAGACCTGTGAGTAGCCTCCGGCGGCCTGAAGGAGAGTTTACTGGGAGGCACCGCTCTCTGTGACCTCTACTATCTGTGTGATTTAGGTACTTTGAGGGTGGCGTGTCCTCTGTGTACCTCTGGGACTTGGATCATGGCTTTGCTGGAGTGATTCTCATTAAAAAGGCAGGAGACGGATCCAAGAAGATCAAAGGATGCTGGGACTCTATTCATGTGGTGGAGGTGCAGGTGAGCTGAGAGAAGCATGGTGACATTTAAACCATGTTCCACTCTAATTTCTAAACACGCATCATCTGATCAAAATCAATCAAATTGGTTCAAACTATGTGTATGTGTTGTTTTTTTTTCTTTTTTTCTTTTTGGCGAGCAGGAGAAGTCCAGCGGCCGCACTGCTCACTACAAACTCACCTCTACTGTCATGCTGTGGCTCCAGACAACCAAGACCGGCTCCGGTACCATGAACCTGGGCGGCAGCCTTACAAGACAGGCAGGACATTTCTCTGAACTCTAGTTTTGGAAAAAAAATGAAAAAAAGAATGGAAATCCCGCTGCTGATTTGTCCAGCTGTGCTGGAATTTACCAAGTCCGTTTGCTTTTTGCAGATGGAAAAAGACGAAACGGTTGGAGAGTCTTCGCCCCACATCGCTAACATCGGACGCCTTGTTGAAGTCAGTAGAATTTTTTAAAGCTGCCTTGTCAAGTGGCCAAAGTCGCTATTTAATGGCTACACAGGGTTTTTTCCTACACTGGACGGAATTTGTTTTTAGAAATGTAATGGGGCCAACAGTGGGAGCAGAACAGTGTGGAAGTACAGTCCATTTACACTGTGCTACTGGACTGATAGCATTTGAATAGTATCAAAGAATGGCATCCCAGCTTGCTCCTGTTTTTGAAAATACTTATGACACATTAGAAAGTTTTTGTTTTTTCACTGGTAAAGGAAACCTCAATTTTTAAAGACCCTATTTCTCCCCTCTACATCTAAGCATAAATCAGCTGTCCAGCTTCAGAATGCAAATTGGAGATGGGAACAATGTTAAGAGGGCATAATGTCTCATTTCAGGATATGGAGAACAAGATTCGTTCCACACTGAATGAAATCTACTTTGGCAAGACCAAGGACATCGTCAACGGCCTGAGGTACTACAGCATGAAGCGCACCACCGTCCTTTACAGCAGCTCTGTTCCTCTCACATCTGTTCTAGCCTCTGAATCAGCCATCTCTTGTGATACATTTTTTAAATTCAACACAGTCTTAAAAAAAAATCTGATTTACACTCCTACCCCTTTTTGTCCCATCTATTCAGCTTCTTCTACCACTTTTCTATGTTCTTGATTTCTACCCTTTTGATATAGCATTTAAGCTAGCATTTTCATCTCATGCTCTCCTCCTGTTTAGTCTGTCACCACTCCTCCTCTGCTACCTCTTCTCTGTCCTCCAGATCTATTGAGTCTTTGCCTGATAATCAAAAGTATCGGCAGCTCCAGAGGGAGCTGTCACAGGTCCTTACCCAGCGTCAGATCTTCATTGACTAGGGTCAGAGGTACTCCCTGGCATGGACAAGTGTTTATGTGTGTGGGTTGTGGATGCACTTCGACGGCTGCTTTCGACTTTTGAGAGTGAGAAAAATGTTTTGGGCTGGGGAAGACTAAACTGTCTGACACTGGAACATAGACCCCATTTAGAGAACAGTGTTAGATAAATGTTTATGTCCGTGACCAAGATGGGACATTTGGCTTTAGTGAGCAAGGAAACAAAAAGCTGCAGAGGTCTGGGGCCCAGGTGGTAGATGGAATCCGGGGTGGAGGGGGGCGATAGCTGCGAATTTGAATGGAAAAGCATCTTGTTAAATAAATATCCAGCTTGTTCGGCCTTTTCCACTCTGTACTGTGTTTGTATATGCGTTGGAACACACATTTGCATGCTTCTGACTCGGTGTTGAAAAATGCAAGCAGCTGTTCAAGACATTTTGTGCAGGTCTTGTTTACCTTTGGACTAACAGATGATCTGAGATAGTAACACACTAAACATGTCGGTGTCGCTAGCTGTTGCCCTAATAAGGTTGTCTTAGAAGGTGTGATTTTGTGTGAATGCTGCAGAGAAACTTCCAGAAAGAGTTTTAAAGCTTTACAAAAAGTCAAACCCAGGAAAGAGCTTGTCAACAAGAATGTTTCGGGGTAAACAAATAGCTCATTTCATGTAGCGTAATGCTAAAGAAGAGTTATGGCTCTTTTTATTTTATTGTATGTCTGAACACAGGATTTTAAAGATTTACAGGTTAATAAAAGTGAAACTGCATAAGTGGCTCAGACTGTAATATTTATGACATTAAATTTAAATGTGTGCAGTGTGTCTACCCTCAGCGTGTGATCATAATGCATGTTATTCACCAACTTCTCCCCGCAGAAGTAGAATTGGACTATAAATAACACTTTGATAATCTCTCACGTTTTCAGGTTTTGTCTTGAACTTAACAGCTTGAGTATTTCCCAGTCTCTCTCCCGCTGTTTCCATGCGAGGGTTTTTGTGTGCACTCAGACTCTTTTCTCTTTTCTTCTGCACAGGAGTGTGCAGACCCAGGCTGACAAGTCGCAGAAGGAGGCTCTGAAGGTCGACCTAATGGAGGCACTCAAACGCAAACATAACAGCTAGAGATGCTACTGTTGTTTTTTGTTTTTTTTTCTCCGTCTCACTCTCTCTTCGCCTCATCTCTGCCATCTTCTGTTTCTTTACGTCTCTCTCTCTCTCCATGCCTGTTCAGTGCTGCACTCTTGTTAATTTGTGGAAAAACGAAAAAGGAGAAAACGCTTTGCATTTTATGTCTATTTTTTTTTTGTTTTGTTCTTTTTGTTTTTGTTTCCATGCATCTCGTCTGCCATGAAGCCATTCACCCACACTCTGTTTCTCTTTCCCCCTCTCTGTGTCACCTGTAATGAATATAATGATAGTATTGCCACGGTTAATGATACAGAGTGAAGCTCACTGTACTGATAATCCCCGGTGCGTCCTCGGTCAGTGCTCATCTAGCTGCCGTGACCCCTACAGGCGGGGTAGGCTCGACAGTGGTGTCATTATGTTCATTCACCTTATCTCCTGCTCCCGTTTTGTCTCCGACACCATTCAGATATATTTGTATAGAAATATAACTGTCCACGTATAACTGTAAGCCCTCGGGGCAACGTAAACATGAGGATGGCCTTTCTGTGTGCACAAAGAGGTTTTTACATTTTATCCCACTCTGTCTGCATGCATGTGTGCCTGTGTGGGAACACGGGGCAGCAGGAGGAGGACATGGGTCAAACATGGGGATGGACTGTTATCACCCTCGTCACAAACCGCCCCCCCCCCCCCCCCCACCCCACACTGTGTATAACATGGCAGTTTCTTCCCCCTCTGTTCAACTCATCCAGCTCTCTTCACCTATTCTGTCTTTGTTGGGGGTCACAGTTTGTCTTTGTGTCTCACTGGAAACCTTTACGTGTTTCCATTTTTGGAGGGGAATCTTTTTTTTTGTTTTGTTTTTATTTTGTAAAGCTTATGATTCATATTGTATTAGAGCCTCCAGCAACAATAAAAACTGTAAAAAGCTAAACTTGTTTTTCTTCTGACTCTGTGAGGTGATGTCATTGTTGAGTTGGACTGTAGATGTTGGACTGGCTTTACTTGGGATCATGAGTAATCAGTGAATTGTCCAAAAATAAAGCCTTATTTCCAGAAACAAGGCCGTTTTATAAGATAACAAAAGAAAGATCACATTAGACTTTTTTTTCAATGTTTACCTAGGAGATGTATTTTATAACCTTATTATGAAAGAAGGTCACCCAGAAAACAGAAAAGGCTGCAGATGTTCTGACCACTCTGACAGATAATATATAGAACTGGACCCGTGTTGCCTTAAATATTTCATTACCCGGCCATCTCATCAAAGATGATCCAATGGGTCCTTAAATTGACCAACCTTCATGGATATTAAATGTACAGAGTCATCTAACTCTGATATAGCCATCATAGATTTGAAAAAAAAAATTAAAAGCCTATAAACTGGAGGTTGCTCAGGTTCTGTTTCTACATATGTTCATTGATTTGGATTAATTTTCTCATTTTATAGTCAGGAGTTTTAACCAAAACAAAACAAAAAGTTGTATTTACCAACATGTTTTTCTGAGTAGTTTTAATAATTCGCAAATGCATTCTTCAGAAGCACTTGTGGCATTCTCCTACCTGATTGTACAATTAATAAGAACTCATTTCATTAACGCTACACAACAAAGACTGATAACCGAAGGAGTATTTAAATAATTCAACTAGGATCCTGAATTCCTGAATACTGATCCCTGTGTGTCTGCAGCTTGTCCACCAGGTGTCAGTGTCGTGCAGAATGTCAGCTCACTGGTCTGTCTTGTTCCAATCATTCCAAAATGGGTATTGATATTTTTTAAAAATAACGTATTCCAATGACTATACCTAGATTGAACATGCTTTAATACTTACGTTGAAACGTTTTTCTTATAAATGACCGTTGTGTTCTTTCAAATAAGTGCATTTAAATTTCAGATCAGCAACAAAGTCTTTAGGTCACATTTAATCCTCTTGAGAACTTAACTTTAAAATGTTTTTCCCAAATAAATGTGTGCAATAGGGCCGTAATGTAGAAACATTGAGATGTCCAATGTAATAACAGTTCACAAACATCATTTTAAAAGGTCTTTATAATGGAGACTGAGGACCCAAATGCTGAATAACCAGGAAGGAGGTGAAAAACTGGCGACTTGGAAGAACAAAAGGATTTCCTGAAAAATTCAACTAAAGGGTCTGCCAACGGAACAGAAACTGCACACAGAGCGAAAGAGCCACTGATGACAGGAAAAACAGGGATGCTGTAAGGCGCACAGGATATCTAAAACATTCATGCCTGCATCGTGTTAGAAGGCCAGAGGGACCAGCCAAAGGTTTTCAGGTGGACACCTCTGGAGTTTGTAGCGGGGCTTGGCATCAAGTTAACCGAATTTAAGAAAGTGGGAGTTAAGTTTGGAGACAAAAGGGATTTATCCCCCCATCAAAATGATAGAGCATGTTTAGGTTGTTGAAGACCACCTTTAACACCTGAAAGATAGATAAAATACGTTTTATTATGCTTTAAGCGACTTCATCTCTCCATCCCTGTCTGGTTTCTTTCCCCAACCTCCCATCTGAGTGCTTTGTTTTACAGAATGAAGCTCATCTTAAACAACTGTGCTTTAAAAAACAAAAAACAGCATAAAAGTTTAAACTTTGAATTAAAGAAATTTTATCACACTACCAGGTAGAAGTGATTGGGTTTGAATCCCTTCTGGGACATTCCTAACTCAAGCAACCAGTAAAAGAGCGATTTGTCTGAAACATTGTCACCCAAAACATACAATTAGAGGATAATGAAAAGGTAAAGCTATCCTGATGGGGCTGGGGGTGGGGGGGGGGGGCTGGGAGAGAACGTTGGGGCTGGTTGTGTGTGAGCAGCTATTCATGGGGTCTTTGTTTTAAGACTTCTGTTCTTTTCAGGAGCCTTATAAAAAGTACCGTTGCTTAGTGCTGGAGATACCGAGTTCAAACAAGGAGGACACTGGTTCATGTGATAAAGAAAAACCTTCAGTGTCGTCAAGAGGTCTCGTTAATCCGCGTCTGAATTCAGGCCGTTGTCTTGTGTAAATGGAGCTTTTAGGAAGTTACCATTTATCTCTCGTGGCAGGGTTTCTGTCAAGTCCACAGACCTCCTTCTTCACAAACAGACACACACACACACACACACGCACGCACACACACAGGTTTATGATAATGAGGACGCTCAGCGCGCACCGGGGGGTGCGCCGGAGCCATTTTTTCAATCATTCAAGCGAAGTTGAGCGGAGTGAGCGGAGGCTGCTGCTGCTGCTGGAGTTGTTCCTGGTCGTGAGACGCCGCCTGTCCACGTTAGAGCAGCTCCGGTTGCCCAAGGTGACTGCGGGACTTCCTCCTTTTCCAAACAAGCGTATAGTGGCCGGAGAGAAGCGCGCCCGCTGGGAGCATGGCTCTTCTGCAACAAAGGGAAACTCGCAGGCGGAAAGTTTAAGGAATCCAGGAGCTGCGGGATTTGGCTCTCTCGGCCGCGGCGGAACTCAACCTGAGGAGCGATGCACTTCGTTAAGTGTGATTTGTTGCGGATATTGTGGTGGTGGGAGCTGGTCTCGCTGGCGCACTGTGTGAGCGTGCATGTGAGTGAGGATGCGGAGCGGAGGACGGTGCTGGCCGGCGCGGAGCGGGGCGCGCGGTGCACTTTGGATCAAGTGCTCGCTCCAAAATTCACGGAGCGCTTTCTGGAGACTGACGCGGCCGCGGGGGTCGTGTTCCTTTCGGACTCGATAAAGTGCTCCTCGTTGCCTTCTAACCCCTTTACTTTGTATACTGTGGAGGACTGCGCGGACTCCGGCTCCAGGCACCTCCTCACCAGTCAGTACGATGTACACGTCCACGGGAGGAACTGTTCACCTACGCGTAAAAGAAAATCACAGTGGGACATGGAGGTCCTCAGTTTGTTCCACAGCCACCACAGCTCGGCGTGCCATGAAGCAGACTCTGCTTTATTTCCAGTGGGAGGTCTGCTGCCAGGCCCCCCTCTCCGCTGCAAGGTCGCCAACAGCCGAGAGTTTTACTTCTCAGAGGGGGATCTGTTTGTGTCACAGACGCTGTGCTGGAGGCAGGACACCTTCCTGGAGCTGGACATGCTCTGTGATGTTCTCACCGCAAACGGGATGAATGTTGACCCCGTCTCCATTCACTGGCGTGTGGGACACGGGCCCTTCACGCAGAGCCACATACAGAAGCTCTTGGAGAGGGCAGCTCAGTCTGACTCAGGTATTGTGAGCAGAAGAAGGAGAAGCATCAATAGCAGCCCCCAGTTTAAGCCCCCCATGTACCAAGTGTCTGTGGCGGAAAATAAGCCAGCTGGGACTCCGGTTGTTGTCCTGAAAGCAGTGGATGTGGATGAAGGGGAGGCGGGAAGGCTTGAGTATTTCATAGAGGCTCTTTTTGACAGCCGCTCTAATAATCTTTTTGCTGTGGACCCAGTCAATGGGGCTGTGTCAACAATCGAGGTGCTGGACCGGGAGACAAAGGACACCCATGTGTTTCGTGTGACTGCTGTTGACCATGGCACGCCTCGACGTACAGCCATGGCCACCCTCACCATCACGGTCAGCGACACCAATGACCACAACCCTGTGTTTGAGCAGCAAGACTACAAGGAAAGCATCAGAGAGAACTTAGAGATAGGCTATGAGGTGTTAACTGTCAGGGCCACGGATGGCGACGCACCAGTTAATGGTAACATCTTGTACCACATCCTCAATAGTAACGGATCCAACAATGTTTTTGAGATAGATTCTAGGTCTGGTGTAATTCGCACTAAAGGCCTGGTCGACCGAGAGGAGGTAGAAGACTACATGCTGTTAGTGGAGGCAAACGACCAGGGCCGTGACCCCGGACCCCGCAGTGCCACAGCCACTGTTTACATTGTGGTGGAGGATGACAATGACAACGCTCCTCAATTCAGTGAGAAACGCTACGTAGTGCAGGTGCCGGAGGACATGACTCCCAACACCGAGATCCTGCAGGTCACTGCCACCGATCAGGACAGAGGCAGCAACGCTGTGGTTCACTTCAGCATCATGAGCGGAAACACACGCGGGCAGTTTTACATCGATGCCCAGACAGGTAAAATGGACCTGGTGAGCCACTTGGACTATGAAGCTAACAAAGAATACATGCTAAGAATTAGAGCTCAGGATGGAGGAAGGCCTCCGCTGTCCAATATCAGCGGGCTGGTCACCGTGCAGGTGCTGGATGTCAATGACAACGCCCCCATATTCGTCAGCACCCCGTTCCAGGCTACTGTGTTGGAGAACGTGCCTCTGGGTTACTCCATCATCCACATTCAAGCCGTGGATGCAGACTCTGGAGAAAACTCGAGACTGGAGTATCGGCTCACCGAAACCACACCGCATTTCCCCTTCAGCATCAATAACAGCACAGGGTGGATTGTTGTGGCCGCAGAGTTGGACAGAGAGAGCGTGGACTTCTATAACTTTGGTGTGGAGGCCCGTGACCACGGCTACCCCATCATGTCATCCTCAGCCAGCATCAGCATGACCATTCTGGACGTCAACGACAACAACCCAGAGTTTACTCAGAAGGCGTATTTCATGCGGCTGAACGAGGACGCCGCCGTGGGCATCAGCGTGGTGACAGTTTCGGCCGTGGATCAGGACATCAACAGCGTTGTGACTTATCAGATTTCCAGCGGAAACACCCGCAACAGATTCTCCATCACGAGTCAGAGCGGAGGCGGGCTCATTACACTGGCTTTGCCCTTAGACTACAAGATGGAGCGCCAATATGTCCTCACTGTCACCGCGAGCGACGGCACTCTCTATGACACCGCCAAAGTGTTCGTTAATGTGACGGATGCCAACACGCACCGGCCCGTCTTTCAGAGCTCGCATTACACCGTCAACATCAATGAGGACAGGCCCGTGGGCACCACCGTGGTCGTGATAAGCGCCACGGACGAAGACACCGGGGAGAACGCACGGATTACCTACTTCATGGACGACAGCATCCCTCAGTTTGACATCGACCCGGACACAGGAGCCGTCACCACACAGACGGAGCTGGACTATGAGGACCAGGTTTCTTACACGCTAGCCATCACTGCCCGGGACAACGGCATCCCGCAGAAGTCTGACACAACTTACCTGGAGATCCTTGTGAACGACGTGAACGACAACTCGCCCCGTTTCCTCAGAGACAACTATGTGGGCTCAGTGATGGAAGACGTGCCGGTGTTCACCAGCGTGGTGCAGGTTTCCGCTATCGACAGAGACTCCGGCCTCAACGGCAGAGTTTTCTACACGTTCCAAGGTGGGGACGATGGCGACGGGGACTTTATAATCGAATCGACCTCTGGCATTGTTCGCACGCTGCGCAGGCTGGACAGAGAAAATGTGCCTGTTTACAGCCTGCAGGCCTTTGCTGTAGATAAAGGGGTTCCCGCGCTGAAAACACCTGTAAACATACAGGTAACGATCCTGGATGTGAATGACAACCCTCCTGTGTTTGAGAAAGATGAATTTGACATTATGGTGGAAGAAAACAGCCCCATGGGTCTTGTGGTTGCACACATATCAGCCACAGACCCAGATGAAGGCAGCAATGCGCAGATAATGTATCAGATTGTAGAAGGCAACATCCCAGAGGTTTTCCAACTTGACATCTTCTCTGGAGAACTGACGTCGTTAATAGACCTGGACTATGAGTTTAGGTCCGAGTACGTCATTGTGGTCCAGGCCACCTCTGCCCCTCTGGTCAGCCGAGCCACTGTCCACATCAAACTGGTGGACAAGAACGACAATGTGCCCGTGCTGAAAAACTTCCAGATCATCTTCAACAACTATGTGACAGAGAAGTCCAGCAGCTTCCCCACCGGAGTGATCGGGCGGATACCCGCCCACGACCCCGACGTCTCAGATCAGCTTCACTACAGCTTCGAGGTGGGAAACGAGCTGAACTTGGTCCTCCTCAACCAAAGCACGGGGGAGATCCAGCTGAGCCAGGCCCTGGATAACAACCGGCCCCTGGAGGCCTCCATGAAGATCTCTGTGTCAGGTGAGACCCTGAGATAATTGCAGACTCCACCCAGTGAGGGAAACATAGTGCTGAAATAAGAGACCAGACTTAGAGAGGTGTGCTATGTTGCCTTTAGTGTGTTCTCTTCATATGTGTTTTAGCTTGTCGTACAGAATAATGGCTGTGATGATGACTTAAGTATCGTCACCTCATAATTTCACAGTGATCTGCCTATCAGAGAAACATTGGTTATGCAAATAATTTTTCTGAACACTTGTTTTTGTTAATCATGTAAATTGGCTCAGATGCCTCGTTAAGACTTACTGTACTTCACAGGCTTGAGGCGGTTTTGTTTATTGTTTTGGGTTAGATAGCTGTTGTCAGAGCCTGTCTGCCTCCTGTGGGATCCATACTTCAGTGGGCAGACTGATCCAGCCCCATAATTGCTTATCATACCCTCTCCTCCACATACAATGAACGACCTCATTCAATTATGATCACTTTCTATAGCTTGTTTGGGGTAAGAATTAGTTGATATACGTTAAGTGTTCTTTTGTTTGACAGATGTCTTCTTTCTTTTTTTTTCGCATTAATTTGATTTGGATTTGTTGAAGGCTGTTGATGTGGGTAAAAAAAATTCCCATCTGCCGTGCCTTGCACCATTATTTCTTGCATGCCAGCATGAAATTACATATTCTTACTTTCACCAGAAATCTGGCTGAACTTAAATTGCACCCACAGAAATTTTGTGGGAAAGGCAGTTTGAGCTTGTCGCTCTGTGATCTGCTTTAAATCTGCCTCCTATTTGACCTTGGCACAATATACAACAGAGAACTGGAAGCATTATTAAGAGATTGAAAATCCAGAACAAGATTAAATTGGACAAGACGAAGGAAAACGAAGACTGGTAGAAGCCCTACAGGGTGTTTTTGAAGGCAGTGAAAGCATTAAAGTGCTTTCCTGCTCGCTGATGTCTTGACACTGAGGACTAGATAATGTGCAGTTAGTGTGAGCAGTCGTTATCATAGATCGGAGCTCAGCTTAGTCTCCCTGGAGAACAATAGTAAGCTGTCGATAGTGGGGCAGGCGCTCGCACTCATCCCAGGCTGTGGTTGGGGGCAACAGCTGTGACTCCACCGAGGACCAATTAGAGGCCGTGTCTTCCCAGCGCGTCCAGCACCTGCTGGGGTTTATGTATCAGCACCCCTGCAGGAAACAGAAGGAGACAGAGGGAGACAGGAGGACGGGGGCGGGGGGGGGGGGGGGAAGTTGTGTAAACAGAGTCCATGACGCAAAACTCAGAAGCACTGTAAGAGAGCAGGAAAGTCAGCGGGCTGGAGCTGTTGGAGGAGGTGAAGGGGCTGGAAGATGAGCTCTCTCTACACATGCTGCTGACCCCAATTTTCTGTGGCCTCTCCCTTCAGGGACCTCCCAAGTCTTCCCTTTATCTTTTTCTTTGAGCTGCCGTTTAAGAGGCCCCTTATGATGGACGATTTTTGATGGGTTCCTTTGTATGTTGTTGGACTGCGATTAACATCTTTTCTTAGCTCCTCTCTTCATCATGCCAAAATGGATGCAAAAGTTCAAATGTGCCTTTTTTAATCTAAAAGCCAGGTTTATATGTGTTTACAAATCCCTTTGGTTGTTATGAATTCATTGTTCTGGTAAACCCCATCAAAATTGAATAATTTTCACTTGTCTTGTAAAACTATGATTTCCTTGTTTATTCTTTTTGGGCTGCATCTGCATGTCTGGTTTAGCCTAAAAAGTCCCGCTATTGATAAAAAAAATCAGAAAAATTTGTATTGCAGTTTGAAATCATAATGCAGAAGTATATTATTAAAAACTAGTACAATGTGGAATTACATTTAAGAGGCAAAAAAGGAGGAGGAAGTAAAAAAGACAAGGGACAACACTTGGTATATGCCAGAAATGATCTGGTCACTTTTGAGTTGTTGAGAATCAGATGGGTTGTTTCTTTGGAAGGAATGAAAGTATTCTTAAATTACTAGTTAAAAACTAGTCTAATTTAACTATATGGTACTTCCTGAATGTTACTTACGCTGATTGATCAATGTCAAATGGCATGATTCTGCAAGTGTACACAGCTGTTCGGTAATCCAAAGCAAAAAATTGGGAAAGAATACATCAACAACATTCAGCGTCTCATTTTCCCGGCCCGCACTAGTCCTAGAAACCCTTAATCTATGTAGAAACATAAACTATCAATAAATAACCTATGATAGATTAAAATGAACTTCAAGGATGACTGACCATGTTTTTTTAAGGAAGCAGCTAACATTCCGCAGCTAAGGTTTATTCAGAAAGGATTCAGCACCGCAGTCATTCACAGCTATAAGCAGGCACTTCATAATACGTCTCACAGTCACACAGCCCGGGGATGGCTGCCTGTTGAGTACTGTTTGTGTGCACATGCATGAATAAGTAATAGTGATGAATTATGTTAGCTAGTTAAGGAACCAGATTTGAAGCGCTGGTGTGCAGGTGCGGAGCCGGCCTCCATACTGATACAGAGCTCCGACTCCTTCTGCTAATTTCACCTGCTGCTTTCACATCCGAGGGGGGATATGCCTTCAAGCATGACATTTGTGCTACGTGGAGGACAAAACTTGTTCATTTTCGCTTATTTCAACCCTCGTCACACATCAGTCTCAGTAGAGGAGGTCTAGTCACACGGCAGGGTGAGAGGCAGGTTTTCTTCTGCAGGATTAAATCTATTGCATCTGTATCCCGGGATCTGTCAGACCAGTGTTGACATACTCGCAGGCTCATCCACTGTTCCCAGGCAAGCGTGAGCCTGCATAAGTAGGTGTTTGCATTTGATGGCAGAGATTTTTTTTCCCACTTCTTTTCTTTCATCTGGAAAGCCCTGATCATTTTCATATAGAGATTAAAGCTAATCATCATCCCGTAGCTCTGAAGCCTTCATTATGCTTGGTATTTGAAATATGAGGTCTATTTGTTGTGTAGTTGGTAGCTTTGCTCACATGTCAATTTCTCACATTCCTCGCACTGCTAAGTGACTGTTAAAGGAGTGGCACTGTTAGAGCTGAATTTCCAATGTGGCAAAAATGTACTCGAAATCACATTAAAAACTTCACCATGTGGACACTCTGTCCCCTCTAAATCAACGGCTGAGTACAAACGCATGGCCTGATGCCTCCACTCATGTTGAAAAGGCTATCTTGGAAATTGAACAGACAAATACGCTTCCGTTACTAATGATGACAGTTTGATTCAGCTCACATCGTACTGCAGGTTGTTCTGCTGCGCAGGTTTGTGGGCAGCAGTTATTTAGTCTCTGAGGTCAGTCACAGAGGCCGGCTTCAGCCTTAAGTGGCTGCAGATGCTCAAACTACCTTGCTGTCAAACTTTAGTGAGCCAAACCAGCTGGCGTTCGGCCCAATGACCCGGGGCGGACAACAAATATGCCGGCATGAGTCATGTTTACTGTTTGCTCATTTGGCACCTTTTATAGACGAAATATACTGAGGGTCAATGTTAGATTGGATTCTTTTTTATCCAGATAATGATTTTCTTTGATGTGAAAGAAAGAAAGATGTCTATGCTGCCGAGTGTTTTTTTTTTGGGGGTTGTCACCCAAAAGCTACAGGACCAGCATTTAAATGGCTCTGTGTCGTTCAATGTAAGTAAGACATTCACAGCCGGAGTAATTTCATTAGAACCTATTAAACCATCAGGCTTTCAGTGGACGGGCTTTCTCAGGGGGTTGTTTTCTGAAACACGAACCCATCAAGCTGCACAAACCTTGTGTGTGTGTGTATGTGTGGCCTCCAACAGCTGGACCGCTCTGATTGCCTCTCTTCATGCTGTCCTGTAATTATTTCACTCAAGCGTAGCCCATCTTGGATTTCTGTGTTCTTTATGGTTGATAAATGTCTTGTTTTCCTTGCGCTTGATTCACAGGAATCAAAGTCACAGCTTGGCATTCTCACCCTACTAGAGTCATCCTTTCATCCTTTGTGCCTCCTTTGCCCTCCTTGGATATCGTTACTCACACTTGTGTGCTTGTGTGGAATGTCTCTGACGCTCTTCCTTAGTAACTTCAGCCGTCACCTTGATACGGTTTCTGTTTTTGTTTGGCCGTTACCATTTCCCATTTTTCTCCTATCTGCTCGGGTCTATGGCTCCCACCCCTGCAACCTCCGATGTTCCCTCCCATAAGTTTGAACTCCCTCCCTTTTTTATACCGTCCTACCACCCACCCCCCCCTCACCCCCCACCCCAACCTCCCTTGTGAAAGGAAGAATGCCTAAGAGAAATGCTTTATTAAGCACCCAGTTGTCATGGTGAACCCAGCAATGCCTGAGAAATTCCTTGTGGGTGGGGACAAGGGGTCCGGCCTCCTTTGTGAAGTGAAGGTGGGGGGGAGGGGAGGCCCATAAAGTTCTAAAGAGCAACTGTCCCCCTTCTCCCAGTTTGCAGTGAAGCATGTAAGGCCTCACGAGGACCTGTAGTGCTCGGGGACACGCTGACCTGTGCCGCCGGGTGCTCTCACTCAGCCAACGTTCTTGCGAGTTGGCCGCCAAAAGAAAGCAGATAAAAGTTTCCACGCGCTGCGCTTTCAAAGGACAGGACCCTGTCTTACAGGTGACACGGTTCAGAGGCCCACTGTTTTGAAAGCACGAGTGAGATTTAAGCCGGCGGTGATATGAGAGCGTCGTTGTTAAGCCCTTTGATTTGCGACACCGATGCACTCAGAGGGGTATCCAGTTTCGGGCCGCTGGCATTTTTCACAGCAGCACAACATCCTCCTGCGGGCCTCATCTCCTCGCTCAGTGCATGTCCACAGGAGCGGAGGTGGGGGCGAAGGTGCGGGCGAGGTGGGGAAGGATGACATCATCCGTGTGCTCGCAGAGGAAATCGTGTTTGGGATTAGGGTCGGCGCATCGCTGGGGTGAGGCCCTGTGGTGCTCGCATATATCTTAGCATTGTCCTGCTTTGTCCTCACTATCCCAGCAGACAATGGGAGTGGGCTCTGTTTGGAGCGACCCCCCCCCCCCGAATCCTTCTGCCCACTTGTTTCCCCTGGTGCTGTTATCTTTTAAAGACTTTCACCAGGCCTGCTATTCACTCCCTAATTGTCGATTTAATGTTACTTCTTCAGTGGACTGATAATTGGACAAATAATGAAAATCATTCACAGCCAGATGTACTAATTGTTAGAGGGTATGAAGTAAACTAAAAAAGTTAACTATCCACACTTTGTTGAAATAGATAAGTTACATGGAGCGTTAGTTCAAGGTAGCTTTTTTACAAACTTGTTATCTTGACTTTATGTTTAGTTTAGTGACAGTCTGCTGCATCGTTTAATCAACCCAACAACTGTTTTAGACCCCTAAGAGAACCTGCCTGAACTGTTAGCGGTTTGCCGTCTGCCACAGTTTGGTTTCCTGGCAAATAAAGGCTTGATGTCCAAAAGACATTTATGGTTGCCACTTATGGTCCCCAATAATCTTATTAGGATGTTAGCAGGACTTAAAGCACATGTGTTTGGAGTGGTTGTTTGGTCTAGGTTTGATGTTCCACTGGAGATGTAAATATGGCTTTGAGGGAATTTCCTCTTTTAGTTTCCAGACATTGTTCTATCCTTTACAAACTATGTAGGGAAGCATTATGAGGTTTACTGGGTTTCTTTTCACCAATGTGTTTTGTGGATGTGTTCATATCTGCATGTGTGAAATCAGAGCAGGGTATGAGCATGAAACCTGAGAGAACTGGCTCGAGGCCATCCTTCAACATCCCCATTTAGGATGATTTTTCAAAAATGTCCGTGCGACTGACAGAGATCCCGACGTTACATGAAAGGTATGTTGGTTTTCGGCGAGGGTAATCTTTCATTATTTGAGCAACTGTCATAGTAACTGTAAATATGATGGCAATTAGGTTGTCAGAGCAATCCTATTGTTCCTCCCCTCATGTTACCCTCAATACCACATGAGGGTATGGTTATCATTTATTACTTAGCATGCTTACACATGTTACATAACCTTATACACCTCATTAACTGGGCAGACACTTCCGCACTGATCTAATGAATTCTTTTTTTATTATCATAGAGACTAGAAAGAGAATTTATGGCTTTCCATAAGGAGCCAAACACCATTTTAATCCAAACTAGAAGATGAGCAGCACCTTTTGCTGTCTTAGTTTATACACCTCAGCATTTTTGTGTTGTTGTGCCATTTTCATCCAAACAGCGCCTCAAAAAATTCTACCTTTCTGTGGCTGTTACCATTAGATAACATTTCAAATTCAGCTCAGTGAAAAACCATTAGCAGGGTAACAGTTGGTGTTGGAGGAGGGCTTCAGTTCGTCTCACTGGGCTGGTGAAATACCTCAGGCAATGAAGGGCTAGGAATTTCTTTTCTCTGACAAGATACCATTATGTTTTCTTCTGTAAAGCTAAAGTCATCGCAAGAAAACGTGTCTGACTCTGTAAACAAGACAGATTATGTTTATCTTACAGGCTTCCACCGTTCCGCTTTACTGCACACATCCATCCAGACTGAAACTTCACAGCGACCTGGTTTCTTAAATTTCTGCTCCACGGTTAAGCCTGTCAACGTTGGACTGTTAGAAACACCAGGGTGGGAGCTGTGACTAGTACAGGTGGCAAACTCTGAAGTTCAAAAGTTTAGGATGTTTTTTCTCTTGGTCATTCCTGTGGCCCGGATAACTAAGCAGCTTCAGTGTGGTCGCATGGAACGGATCAAAGAGATTTGTTCCTCCCCATATTATGGTTCATTTGAGATAAATATATTTGCTATTCTGAGCTGACTGTTTCCCAGTTAGTACAGAGTAATATTCTATGTGGGAAACTGATGATTTTGATACATTGACTGATTACGATAAGTTGGTAGATTGCTTTAGTGTCTTTTTAAACAGAATTAGAGTATCAGGAATATCAGTAATTTAAACCATGTTAAAAAACACCAGTTAGTGCAACACAGCTCGATGTGCAGCATCTCTCAGAACACTTATAGGTACATTTGAGTACTCGTGTTTTTGCATGCTAATGTCTCTCCGCTGTCGCGCTGACAGTGGTTTTCCTTTGATATGCAAATGTTCTGATTGGAAAAGCTCAGGTCTGTTCCTCTGTCTCTAAATGCTGCTTTTCTATAGAGGAACAATCTCAGGAATGTCCTGTTGCGAAGGACTTCAGATGCAGCAAAAAAAGTGTCATCAGGGGATGCTGTGGCTCTGTCTGCAAATGAGTATGAATGACCTCTGTCCAGCACCGTCAGCTGTCCTGCTGAACAGAGGAATCACGGGAGGGATTGTGGGTCTGCTGCGACTCTTTTAGATTGAAATCCTCTACTTGACATTGAGCTACACAAGCAATTTTTATTACTAACTCCGCAGGCAGTGTGAGAATAAGATGTTGTTGTGTTGTGGTTATTATTTTAGCTGATCTGTTATTTTCCCCTTTGAGCCTAATTACTCTGCAGAAAACAATGAAACCCTCTATTTTTATACCAAATGTTCCATGATTAAGGTCAAACTTATGAATATTTATTTTACCTGTTTCTTCAAAAACAGAAGAAAACAAATGCATTTGCTTGCATGCTGTGGATCTTCGCTATTTGCGTTGCTGGATGCGAGGGTCTCGGCACCGTTTGGATTCAGATAGCAGTAAATCTGTTGTGTGGGAGGTGGAGCATGCTGTCCCCTCTCTCCTCATGGAACGCGGTTGAAAGTTGCAAGTTGGTTTTCAGTTAAACACGAGCTGTTTGTGCTCATCTGTTTTTAGCTTTTTCTCAACAATATATAAGTCTCAGCTTGGAGGCGGTGTGGCGTTTCATCTCCAATCAAACACAAATCTGCTTCAGTCTGCCATCAGTCTGCTCTGAAAAACAATCTCATTCAACACAGCTCTTGTAATGCGCAGTGCTACAATTTCTCTCATTTTGTACATAAAAGCTGGCCCCTATAGTTACATTAAGTATTTAAGTAATGTGTCATTTGAAAGTTTATGATCTGATCTGCATGATGCAAATAGTCTGCATTCAAACTAAAAATTAAACAAGCATGTTTGTGATATGTTCAAAGTAACAAAGGTTCTGAAGTGTAAGGAAATGCTAGGTATGCCAATAATTATAATTCCAAAATCTTAGCTGGGTTCCCACGTAGCCATGCAGTGTTGACTGGGGCTCAGCTCCTTACTGGAAGCCCTTTCTTTATTTGTGATGGTGAAATGGGGATGTGAGCTGCTGGTGGAGGGTGGAAATCGGGTAAGTCATTAGAGTGTTTTATGCAGTGGGGGTTGGTGGAGGTGGGCTATGGTGGGGGGATACAAAGGAAATGGGATGAAAAACCCATCCCTCCAACCCCCTTCAATGTGTAACCTCCACCTCCCAGCCTGACCAACCAGCTATTGGCCTCTATTCAGGCAGCAGTTGAGTGTGCTTCACCTTTCAGCCCAGCTTAATTCAAACAAGTCGGTCCCCCACCACATTTTACTGCATGCCTTTTGATCACCACAACGCGAGACCTCTGCTTTTAAATTAAACGGACACCAAACAGAGTGCTCTCAGCTTTAATGAAGGAGACACTGGATAAGTTTGATCTAATTACACCATTTTTAATTCTGGCAGAGCACTCAGCCGTGAGACTGTCTTCATGATGATAAAGTTCTCATAGGCTCACTTTTAAGTCACATCAGTGGCCTGTTCAGGGCTGATTTGTTTTTAGCTGAACCGGAGCTGGCCAGGTTTAGAAAGAGGGGATTAAACCTGTAGTCGTGCTGGGTTTACTCGGGACCTTATTATCACATCCAGGGGGAACGACATTATTAAGTACAATCCCATGAAACTCAACAGGGGGAAAAGCCCTTCTCAAACATAACTTCACTGGTTTATTATAGCCTTTTGTGAGGTTGTACTTTAGATCTCCAGAAAGTCTTAACATCCTTTTATTCACTTTTGATTTGCTGTGTTTTGAAATGCCTCTTCATCTGTGAGGTTTAAGAGTTTCTTCCTAAAATGGCTACAAATAGGCCAGACTCCAGTGCTTCAGAGGAGTGAACATGTGAAAAGTGATTTATTAGTCGAGGTCACAAACCCACAGGATGCTGTAGAGTGGACTTTATTAATGAATGGGATGAGCAGCTGCAAAGGCAGCATGCTCAATTAAAATGAAATGAAGTGGGATCTGCTCACAGGGCCTTTGTAGGATCAGCGGCAGGTCTATTCAAGGAAATGTGGTTTGTGTGACTGTCACCTCTGTGATCTAGAGGGGTTTCATTTTGTGGTGTCGGTTTACAAAATGTGATACACTCACCTGTATTTTTGCTCTGCTAATTTGTTGTGTTCGATCAGGGCAATGGTTGGATTTTATGTAGAAATGACAAACAAAACAACACTTTTTTTGCTTTCTGTCATTACAGCTCCCAATATGAGCACTGGCCAAAATGTCATTAAAATATATATATTTTCCAATGTGCCTCATGCACACCCATGTTTCATAAGTTTTTTTTTTTCTTTTGTTGCATCATTACAAGAAATTGCTCTTGATTTCACCAGTTTTTTTACCAGTAGACACAAAGGACCTAAAGGAGAGGAGATAAAATGAGTCTATATGTGTGAAAATGTGAGGAGTTGTAAAAAGCAGTCCTCGTCTGTTGTCTCTTCATGTGTGTATACTTGGCACTGCTTCACTGCATGAATGTGACGATTCCTTCACACTCAGTGTGAACATTTTTGCTACTCTTGATTTGGCTTGATTAGGCTATTTTCAGCCATTTGTCAATTTACATCCATTACCTGACTCCGTGTTCTCAGTTCAAATGAAAAACTCGTTAAGAGCGTAGACTTTGCCGAGCGGCCCAACTTTTGGTGCTGTAAACGCTGCGAACTGCAGAGACAATCACAGCTTCATCCCTCCAAAGTGATTTTT